GGGCGGCCGGGGTCGGCGTCCCCCGGCTGCCCCCTCGCCGGCTGGCGCTTCCTGCTGCCACCGAACGCTTGTTAGCAACCGCTGTTTGTACCGAAACACTCTTCTTCATTAGGGTAAATTAACTAAAACAGCAATCAAGTCAGAAGGAGAAGCCTAGGTATTTACAGGCATGGATCTTCCTTAGCATCTGGGTCAGAATTATTCCCGGTGTAAAGGGGCTTTCTGCCAGCTTCCCCGTGCCCATGCAATGTCCCCCTTGGCATCGCCCGTCCTCATCACCCCCCTGCAGCTCCAGCCACGGGAGCTTCCCAAAACCTCATCTGTGCTTTGGGATGGCTTATTTGATTTTTCTGTTAATGACTCCCCTCTATCCAGGAGTCCACAGGGGTATCCTTACGCAAAGCCCTCTTAAAAAATGCTGGGGACACAAGAAGAAACAGAACATCGGAGGTGATAAATGAAAAAAGGGAGCTCCCGTCGGTGCATTGATGGGAGGCCAGGCAGGGCACTCATGAAGAGGAAAGAGTTGGTTTTCATGGCCCCCAGAAGTAATTATTATAGAGAAAAACTTGCTGCTGCCCTGGCAGCAGCTGGGTCAGCGCAGCCCCAGCCCTGGCACGGGGGACGGTGGCAAACAGTTTGCTGCAGGGGTTTTTATGGGGAAAGCCTCTTCCTCCCCACCCAGGGAAGACGTGCCCCAGAAACGTGGGATCAAAGCAGGTTCCTCTCAAGCCCCGAGGACCTCAGAAATAGCAAGGCAGATGTTTACAGTGCAGGAGCAACAGCCCTCAGACCCCCTGCCCACTCCGCAGAGGGGCCGCGTGCACAGCTGGATACAGCATCGCCCCGGCAAAAGGGAATCCCAAAGGCTTGAGGGGACATGAGAGGTGGCTCCTGGCAGCAAACCTGCTGCAATCCCAGATGAAGGACAAGAGAAAGAAACACGCTAGCCTGCTTTCCCTGCTCCCTCTCTCCTTTTTTTTGTTTTTTAATTACCAGCTTGGTAATGGTGAGGCGGACTTGTACGAAGAGACAGGAGATCCTGAATTTCATTACAGCTCCTACAGCAGGCACCAAAATGACGTCAGCGGTGTGATGCGGCGTGGCGGGGGCAGCAGCTCGGTGGCCGCCGACCAGAGGGATGCCTTCTGCCCGGGCCGCTCGCACGTTAGTGTTTTCATTGCGGACGCCATTCCATTTGGAGTTCGATGTGGTTGTTTTTACAGTGTCGGTCCCCAGCTGGGCTGCCACTGTAAAAGCTGGC